GTAGTTTAACTTTCATGTCCATCTCAGTGGCTTCATTTGACTTCATGTGGACTGTAAAGTTAAGAAAGTACAGCCCAAGACCACTGTGAGGGAGGTGCTGTATAAGCCTGCATAGACTGCCAATATATGGGACGAGTACAGGTCTGCTCTGTCCCTGTCGTGATTTAATCCCTGTCTCTCATATTCCAAGCATGCACAGCAGCAATCTGGCTCAGCCCTGTAAGACATGCTCTGATTTCCCCTTCTGTTTGATCAATGGCACCATTTATAACTGCTCTTGTAAGTTGAGCTCTACAATTTGGGAAGTGCACAATGCAATGAATTTGTAAAGAAACTAAATGTCCTGCCAATCAGGGCAAACTTAACATGCAACAGCTCTGAGTTAAATAAGAATAAGACTATAGATGATGATTGATGATGACGGCATAGTGGAGCAGTAGTGTGCTGCCTCACAGCCCTGCTGCCCCGGGTTCCATTCCAGAGCTGGGGCACTGTCTGTGTGGAGTTTGTATGTTCTCCCCTGATCCACATGCATTTCCTCCAGGTGCTCCAGTTTCCTCCCCCTGTACAAAAGCAAGGTTAATTGTCTTCTGGGAAAATTGGCCCTGGTGTGAGTGTGTGCATCTCTGTGTTGCTGTCTCTCTGCCCTGCTATGTGACTGGTGTCCCAACCAGGTTTCTCCACATGACCTGCCTTGTGCCCATTGCTCGCTGGGATAGGCCCCAACTCTCCCATGACCCTGAATTGGATAAAGCGGTTAGAAAATGTATGAATGTGTTGTTAGTAGCCTATTGATCCAAGGATTTCATCCAGCTGTAAAAGAACCCAGCGTATAAACTTTGTTAACACAACTGAACGGTGTGTTACAGACACCCCCAAAATTTTGTGTAAATAATTCCTCCTATTCTCAGTTTTAAAAGCATTTCTCAATAGTTTGCATAGGCTTCCACTTATTTTACCTACCTTGTGGTTTTACTATACATTATGAAAAAGTCCATTGTGTTGACTTTGTCAATACCCGTGAATATTTTGAACACTGTACAATATCTCAGGTGCTCTCATAGTCTTCTCTGTTGAGGACAAAATGCATTTAAGTCTTCAAGCGTGTGTGACTAGGACATTCCTTTAAGGCCCAATACTGTATCTGGTTTCTATTCTTTGGACGGATTCCAGATCAGTAATATGGTTTTTATAATGAGACCAGTGTTGGACTGATTATTCAGAATAATATTGCAATAGTGCACTACTCAATTTTTACAAAACATGTCTAAATTTTTGATTGACTTTCTACAGCTCCCCCACATTTTCTAGAGAATGGAAATGACATGTTTGTTTAAAAAAATAACTTTTTAGGCTCCATTTTAACACAGTTATTATTTATAAATGTTTTTGCTAATTACCTGTAGCAGTTCCTGATCCCGATCCTCCTACTTTGGTAGAGTAGTAGAGGAAAGGAGTTTATTGCTGTATGTACATTATTTGCACCAATCTCTCAGGATTTGCATAGTACAGCAAACGGTACAGTATGACAGACAACACCACACGATGCAGAGAGTACATTACACAATGGCACATAATAAATAGTAACAACCAGAACAATAAATATGTTGTAGAGAAGAATAATTATTAGTGAAAAAAACATGGTAGTCCATGCAAAAAGTGCAGAGTACAGAGGTGCATTGAGTACTGAGGCATTGCAGTTAGTTGTTAAGGATGCATACTGCTGTAGGGTAGAAGCTGTTCTTGAGTCTAGTGGTCTGTGCTTTAATAGTGCGGTGCCACTTGTCAGAGGATAGGGGGGAGAACAGTTTGTGACCAGGATGGTTGGGATCCTGAATGATGGATTGGGCTTTATTGCAATAGTAGATGCTGTGAATCTCATTGATTGATAGTAAGTCACGTCCTGTAATCACCTATCCCTTTGCCACAACCCTCTATATTTATTGGTATCACTGATAAATGTGTCATGTTTGTTAATTAAACCAAAATTGAGATAACTGACATACAGTAAATGATGAAGAGCAGTGCTCATAATACAGATAACCCCAGTCTGTACTCTTTCACCACTTATCTGTACTCTGTTTTCTAACCCTTGACCCATTCTCAATCCACACACATTCAGCCACTGAAATGTCCAAAGTGACAAATGTGAAGTTGGTTCACTGATAAGCCAGGGTGACCCCTCACACTCTGACAGTGTGCTTTGCTTTAGTGTGCTTTTGCTTTGCTTTGCTGCTGTTTAATTTTTTTAAAGCAATTGTTGTTTAGTTTTATATCAGCCGTTAAAGCTTTTGGGATCATCATATGTTCAGGAACTCAGCCAAGCACAAGAGACATGAGGACCATGCACCCTCAGAAACATGCACTGTCTAGTAACCTGACTCATTGGATAATAGGATGCCACAGTACACTCAGTCATGCATCTCCTGGACAGCTATTACAGTTCTTGCAGTTGCCTGGCTGGCCACAAAGGGCCACTGCTGCAGAGAAGACAGAGGATACTGTACCTTGTCTGATTTCAGTCCCACACCACCAAGCTAATAATAAATCTTACACTTATACAGAGGGTTCTCAATTTACGTGAGTGTTGCATTCCGGAAACCCACGCGTATTGTAAATTCCACTCATTTTT